CCATGGGGGAATTTAAGTGAGGAATTCACATTTTCCAGGCTGGGAATTAGGGGCAGCTTGTGGGAGGAAAGTGGGCTGTGGAATTTTCCAGAACCCAGCCTGTTCTTGGCTGAGCCCCAAACTTATCCTTTTATCCTTAAGAGGAGACAACAGACAAAACAAACTGACCCACACATCTCCAAGGTTGTTCACGAAAAGGACTCAGAGAAAGTTTAGCTCTCTTGCAAGTGGCCGAGTTTAGAAGCACACTTTGATGTGGCGGTCCACATTCAGCACAATTCTGGTTTGTTTCTTTCGCTTTTTAGGGTTGTGTGTGTGTGCGCCGTGTGTGTATAGGGTTGCTCTTTCTTGAGGGATGAATGGAGCAGGTGCTATACATTCTACTTCTCTGAAAACTTTGGCACTTTCAAAAAGCCCGTGGAAGGTTGTTAGCGGCCAGGAGCGCTCGTGGAGATGGGGGAAGCAGTCCCTGGTGAATACACTTCAAGGGGCAGGATTTCACATGGCAGGAAGGCCTTCTGATAATGATGGAAGAATCGATACCGTGGCTGTAATGAGCTGCAGAGGAGACCCTTTTCACGGGCCACCTCCTTCCCGGGACCCATGCTGAGCGGTCTTGAAAGACCATTCATTAATGACCTACCCGCACGTGGTGCGGAGTTCCAGCCTGCTCCCAGTCCCAAAGGCCCAGCCTGGGGCTTGCTTGCTGCACACTTGGTGGGGGAACCGGGGTCGTCCCTGGTGTGCAGTGGTGGCGGCCAGAGGCCCTGGGGAGATGGGCCTGCACGAATGGGGGCTGCCCTGTCGGTGCAGACCAGGTCTGATTTGGAGGGGAGGATGGATGCAGTCCTTAATGATAACAGTAACCCACATTCCCACAGGGGCCCACTCTTGCTGCTTTCATTCTCTTCATTTTCCTGAGATAGGAAGTCTACTTACACTGCCTTCTGCAGGCCATGCTACGTTCCCAGCCCAACCCTCCTCTCCCCCAGTGGCTCTGTCCATCCACCCTAGCTTCCCGAGTCTTCCCATGGACTGATGGGAAGGGACCGGGGGTGAGGGGTGCATCTTGCTCAGCCACAGCGTAGGGCCAGCACCGTCTCCAGGTCCTGGGAGATGCCAATAAGCTTCTGTCAGGCCTTCAAGCGAAGGTGGCTTCTGAGGCAGCTCACGATCAGAAAGCCTGCATCACCTTCCTGTCGTTCCAGCCCCTGGTCCGGTTCTGCCACCAGGAGGAGCATGGATTAAGGCTTGTCTCCATGTGATACACCCCTCTGAACGTTAGCTCCCGTGCTAGTGCTCCCTTGGACTGTGAGCTGGATGCAACAGCATGCCATCATGGAGGGCACCGAGGCGCTGACCCCTGGGAACCTGCAAGGCATACTTGGACCGCTCCCTCCCCACGGCCCCCCTCGGGGGAGCTGGGATTGGCCACCAGGAAGTCTTTACTTGGGACAGGGCAGAGGCTTGGGGCCGAGGTTCTCAAACAGAGTTTGGTTGTTCCTGCTGCTGGCCCTGCTGCAGGGAAGTCAGGCTGAGCCAGCAGGCACAGAGCCCTGAGCGCTGCCCGCCCTCTCCCCAGCCCGCACCGAGGCCTTGGGCCGGTGCCGCTGTCGGGCTGCTCTGTCCTCAGTACCGGCTCACAGACCTACCCCGTGGGCATGCTCTAACTCCTGGCATATGGGTGTGCCATAGGAGAGCGGCAGAACTCGGGGTGGGAAGGTTAAGGAAGGAAAAAGGAACCCAACTTTGCACCCAGACAGTGTGCAAAAGGTGGGGCAACGTTAGTATCCATTTGAAATGGCCACATTTGAGCATGTGCGAGCGTGTCCAAGACTGAGAAGCATGTGAGTTTTTGAAAAGCAAACATTAATCGAGCATCCAAGCAGTTGGCCTTTTTGTTCTGGGACAGGCGTAGCCCAGACTGGAACTGACACTCGCCTTCCCGCAGCCCTGCCGCCTCACCGGTTGCTAGGAGCCGCTTAGCCCTCTGCAGTGTTTTGGGTTTATTCCCTTCTCCCGGTGTGAGGTGTAAACAGAACTGTGTCGGTTCTTTGGAAGTTGGCCTTCCGCATTCTTTGCCTGCCAGAGCTCATGAGTCAGGGACGTGGGACGCTGGGCTGGCTGTTGGCCCACTGACCTCAGATTCTCAAATCCTCACGGACCGGCAGAGCCGCTGCGGGTTCCGCCACACGAATCCTGTTGGTAAATGTGTTGCATCTGAACCCGTGGGGGTGGGTGCCCATGCGGAGTGCCGGCCAAGAAAGTCCTGGACGCAGCCTGGTGGTCAGCAAGTGTCTGCACATCCTGGGTGGGGCTCAGGGGGGTCTCTCCAATAGGGGGTTCTGCCCCCGGGCCCAGCCCATAGTGACCGTCGTCAGGCAGCAAAAGTCTACTTAGACATATAACGGCACAAGGACCTCTGGTTCCTTTCCCTGTCCTTCCTGTTCTCAGGCTTGCCTAGACCCTGGGGGGCAGTGGGGAGGGATCTGCTGACAGCCAGGTCCTCCCTCTGTAGAGGCTGCTGTGCCCCAGTCACCCTGCTGTGGCTGTGGCAGTCACGGATTCATAGAGAGACCTTCCTCCTTGGCTCCCGCCGCCCTGGCTGCCAAGTGCAGGCGCAGGCGGAGCAGCACCCAAGCCCGCGCTGCTTTCTAAAGACAGGAGCCTAGTCCAGCACCATCGGATGGGCATGCCCACCAAACATGTTGCCTTTCCAGTTTCATCTCTGGCATTCTGTCACCTAAAACCTATGTATTAAAACTACTGCAGACCAAAGCTCATTTATAGATGTCCTTTCCTTGCATATGTTAAACACAGTGCCTATGTACCCAGTCTACATGCGGAGCCACGCTTTCCGAGAGAGTGTTAGTAACCCCTTAAGAACAAATAACTGAGCTTTAAAGGAGCAAGAGTACCTGACAGTCCAAACGTGGCCGGGGATTTCACCTGCCATTCCATCTCACCCCTGTTGATCTCAAACACCACGTTGGCATCCTGGAAGAACTGGTCCATGAGGGGCTTAAGATGGTCCAGGTCTCCTGTGACCAAGGCAGCGTGGTACTCGAGCACTGGGGACCCTGCCCTAACCTGGGGCCCCTTTTCCATCTTCTGATAGATTCGAAGTTTTCCTCTCACTGGCTCTGGCCGTCTCTTCATCGTGATGCGGTTGATTTCAGAAAAGTTCTTCAGGAATGAGAAAGACGGTCTTACGGAGTGAGAGCTATTTCTATTGTCATTACTCAATTGTCATCCAGTGTATTTATAACTCCTGTGGACTCTGGTGTGATAATGGTTACTTGATACGGCCAAGATCATGTGACCACCGGGATGCCACAGTGCTCAGTCCCTTGCAATTATACAGATGTTAACTCCAGAGACGGCCACATCTGTGCATCTCCCAAACAGCTCTCCGCACACCTTGGGCCGACACCGACACGCACGCGGCATCGGGATGGACTCCTCTCTTTCATCCTGCTGTTTGTCTGGGCACATGATTCCTCCACCTTACATAGCATTGCATTTACCTGTTTGTGTAGGTTAAGTGACTAACGTCTAAATATGATGTCAGTAACCATAATACCTAGCGATTAAGTAATATCCTTCCAGGTTTACAAAAAATGTGCTATATTTAGAGTTAGAGTAAGGCAAGTCTTAAACTCAGAGGAAAGGCGCAAACATTTAAGACGCATCAGATGTGCTCCGGTTGATTTTTTATGTATTATTATGTTCACTCCTAGTAACAACCATGCAAAGGAAGCCGCATGGCCAAGGCCTCTCGACTAGTTAGCGGCTGAGCTGTGATTGGAACCCACGTGTGTCTGTCTCCAGAACCCGCCCTCTGTCCGCCATGCCATGCTGCCCTGATTCTAGTTGCATCGAGTAGGACCTGCTCAAAACTGGGCCAACACTGTCGGGAGCCACTTTCCAGAGAGGTTCTTTGCTGCCAGAATTCAGGGTCTCTCCCAGGGAAGGTGGTGCCCAGCTAGTGGCGCTGGACCAGCTCTCAGGATAGAGTTGAAAGGGCGTCTGTCTGCTGTCGCTAGTGGGCACCCTCCACTCCCAGTTCTCGTACGGCTTGGGAGCTATGGTTCGTTTCTACATTTGCAAATGGTTGGAAAAAAACAAAAGAAGAATATTTCGTGACATGTGAAAGTTATATGAATAACTTTCAGTGTCCATAAATAGTTTATTGGAACCGTACCATGCTTACTCATTTACATATTGTCTGCCACTGCTTTTGAATGTGTAATGGCAGAGTTGAGTCCCCCCAACAGTGACCACATGGCCCCAAAGCTGGAAGTGTTCATTATCCAGCCCTTTACAGACAAATGTGACCCCTGGTCTTGAAGTCCAGAGGCTTAGACGTGGCAAATTCTTATTAATACGTGATTGCTACCCAAAATAAGTTAACTTTCTCTTTCTTGCTGTGAAGAGTGTCTTTTTGTTTTCTGTCCCCTCCACATTCCCTGTGGCTGTGCCCAAGGGTGACTGATGTGTGTTCTGAGGGCCACGGCAGCCCTGGGGCTGTGTGGGGGGTCCCAGCCGGCTGCTGTGAAAGATCAAGTTCTGTGTGAGTGTCCCCAGGGGAGGCTCCCTGGGACAGACCAGGGTTCCCAAAGGCATCACTGGGGGCTGTGGTGGCCTGTGAGTTTCTGCCAGTGGCTGAGAACTGATCCCCAAATATGCATCCCTTGCTGAAGATGAGAAATGTCACAATTTTTAAAAAATTAATGGTAACAGTTCTTTATTAGTAACTTATTAGTTATTTACTACAGTTTGGGGCTTTATCACGTAAAAATTAATAAGCTAATTTTTTTCTTGTAACATATGTAATATACAATTCTCCACCCCTGCTTTTGTTTTTTAACAATTCTGATTTTCCCCCACCGGGACGTTGGAACAGGCCAGCAAGGGTGGGCTACTGGGTCCTTTGTCCTGTGCACATGAGTTACAGTAAAAACTACGTGACCAGGGGCTGGAGGGAGGCAAAAGGGTCTGAGGGCTTTGCCTGGAAGGGCAGAGGGAAGGGAAGTGGAGCACACGCCCAGGAGGCTAAACACAGGCCCTGGGGTCGGGAGGCGGAATGAGCATGGCCACCATCCATGTGCCACCAATGTTAGATCTGGGGACTCGCGTCCGTGTGTGGTGTTGCAGTCAACAAACAATAGGAAAGCATCAGGAAAAAGGATGTGAAGTCATGGAATAGAGTCCATCGGGGCAGTGCATCCTCGGTCACAGCTGAACTTCTTTAGCCTCTTCTTACCCCACGTCCTCCTCTCTTGGTCTCCTCTGCACACAGAGGCTGCCTGAGACACTCTCCCCCTCTCCGTAACCCCCAAGAGGTGTCAGTGTCCAGCCTGAGCAGGCACTTTGTGTCGCCTGTTTATTTCTAAGAGCGACTTGGCCTCTGGGATGCTCCCGTCGCAAACATTTTCTACAACTGAGGGGAACCCAGCAGAGGACCTTCCGTCTTCCTTAGCAGGGGTTGTGGAAACCGCGTGCACTGTAGTTCACTGTGGGTATGTTCTGACCCGTGCTGTAGACCTGGGTTACAGGCAGAGATGTGTGTGCACAGACTGACCCAAGGCCTGGGCTTCCCCCCAAGTGATAAAAACCACCTCTCCACCACAGAGGAGGGCTGCACGGGTGCTGGGTGGGACCGAGGTGTCCGGCTGTCCAGCACCTTCACGCAGGCAGATAAGGGGCATGGGCTGTGTCCCGAAAGCTGAAGGGTGCTTGCCGGTGAGGGGCAGCCCTGGCTGGGGCTGGCAGCCATGGGGGGCCATGGGTTTACCTTGGCTGTGTTTGTCTGACGCCTGGGCTGAGGCTCAGTGCTGAGGCTGCGGAAGGGCCTGCTGGGCTTAGCTCTCGGGGGGCAGGGCGAGCTGCTCCCTAGGCGCCCGCTGCCAGTGGCTCTGTGTCAGGCGTACCCCTGCAGGTGGGTACCCGTGGTGCCATTTGCAGATGAGGAAACTGGGACTCAGAGACTCAGGTACTTTCTCGAGGTTTCTCAATCCTGAGATGGTAAGTGCCCAGGCTTCTTACTGTGAGCACAGGGGCTGCCCACCCTGTCCCTCACTGCTGTCCCCTGAGCATGCTGCACCTTAGTGTAGGGATCTGCAGTCCCTGCACCTGCTGTCCCTTCTGCCCGGAGTCCTCAGGTCCCCTCCTCACCTGGCCAGCTCCTCCCCCAGCACTCAGCTCAGCCTCCCTTAGCCTCTGAGGCCAGTCCTGATGGTGGCCCTGGGCACACTGCTATTGCGGCCAGTTCCTCTCTGTGCCCCACCTGACCACGAGCTTCTGGGTTGCAGGAACCAGTGGATCAGTCTCTCTGAAATTTGCTTAACCGCATTGAAATTCCTCAGCAGTTCTTTCTGTTATTCTTGGGCCTCTGCTACCTTTTCCTTCAGGGAAGAACATTGTAGTATCCTGGGCTCTTGGCTGGCCTGGGGCAGGTCTCACGTGCTCAGGGTGGGGCAGCTTTTCTACCTGAGATCTGTGGGCTTCACTGCACAGCCCACCTTGCCCCACATGCAGATATACCACAGGTTTCCTAAAAAGACCTTGGCTATTGTATGTCCCATGAGGACTCTTTTTTTTTGAGACAGGGTCTTGTTCTGTCTCCCAGGCTGGAGTGCAGTGGTGCAATCATAGCTCACTGGAACCTCAAACTCCTGGGGGTGAGGATTCTTTAAAACCTTATTTCAGGCAGGGTGTGGTGGCTCACACCTGTAATGCTAGCAACTGGTGAGGCCAAGGTGGGAGGATTGCTTGAGGCCAGGTGTTCAAGACCAGCCTGGTAGACACTGTCTCTAAAAAAAAAAATTAGCCAGGAGTTGTGGTGTGTGCCAGTAGTCTCAGCTACTGTAGAGACTGAGACAGGAGGATTGTTTGAGCCCAGGAGTTTGAGGTTGAAGTGAGCTATCATGATGCCACTGCAATCTAGCCCAGGAAACAGAGCCAGACCCTGTCTAAAAAAACCCCCTAAAACCAAAAAAAAAAAAAACCCAGCAGAACCAACAACAAAAAACCCCCCTCATTTCATGTGTTTTGAAGTTTATCTCCCTCATCCATATCATCAGTAGCAAAAGCTGCATCAACATCATCAATGAAAACAGCAGAGTTTTTTTAAGGCCCCATTTTGTGCTGAGGACACTAGGGCGCTGTGGGAAAGGCAGCAGTTAAGAAGGTGTAGACCACGTTTGTAAGGAACTTGCAGCCTCCGTTGGAGAGAAAACGCACTTACATACATCAGCGCAATGGAGATCATTTCCCTTCCCAGAGTAAAATTATGAGCTTCTGTCTCGTCTCCTCCTGTCCCCTTCATTATCATATTCTGTAGTTGCTCTGTTCATTTCAGTAGCAATATTAAGCTCTTTGGATAGTTCATTTTTCTAAGCATAGCCACTTTGCCATCTTATTTTTCTCAGACTGATTGTAATTAGATAAATTTCTGAAGGACTCACTCATGCACAGCTATAATATGATCCAACTTGAGCTTGTATTTCGCTTTAAACTGGAGAATTTTTTTGTACCTGATATATTTGTCATGGGTTATTTTTACAAGGGGTGGAACATTGGAGGTAAGTCCAGGGATGAAAGCCATTCCACACTGCGCTCTACGCTAAATTTAGCTGTCCAAGTGTTGTTTGTCAACAGCTCCCTAAATATCCCAGCTTGATTTCGGTAGGTAGGGAGTAGTAGTCAAGAAACAGACTTGGCTTTCTGGGAGACCTTAAAAATAGCTCATGGCAGACGGCGTTAGTTCATAAATAGGGCATGTAGATTGCTTCACGAGCATGGTGGAGAGCCGTCTTTATTATTATTATTTTTTTTTAGGAACAAGAAAAGCCACATTGTTGACTGTGGCATTAAAACAATGTGAAAACCAACTCATTCATTCATCTGTTCATTCAAGAAACATCTGTGTGATCTTTATTATGTCTTAGGGTGTGTTGTAAGGTTTTGGGGATTCAGAGACAAAAAATAGCAACACCCCTGCCTGCGGGGATCACACAGGAAGAAGCAATGACCAGAG